GCAGCGCCCACCCCCAGCGGGACCGGCGGGCTCGTACATTTCCCCATTCAGCTGATGGTGAGTGCTGTGCTATTTTAAGCCCACATGGAAGTATTTTTTTTTTCTAAGGACCATCTGCTATGGGCCCCAGCCCAGATGATACAGTTAGAACCTACCCACAGCATCCTCTCCCGCCTTCAGACAGTTCCAGGAACAAGGGTGAGTCAGTCGCCCAGCTGAACTCCCGTCTTGCTACCCCAAGAGATGGCCCCGGTTCCGTGCCAGCCGAGGGGGCTGCTCCTACTTCAGGGGCATATGCACTGCGCTGCTTCTCAGAGACGGGAAAGGGACCCCCGCCCCTTGCAGCGTGCTCCCTGCAGAGAGAGCCAGAGGAAGGCCTGGCAATGCCCAAGTTAGCCCTTCTCAGCTGAGTCTCTTTGCCCTTGGAGGCTGAGACCTGGTTCAGGAGTTCAAGTGCAGACGCTGGAGCTTGTCAAAAAGGGGTCACCAAGAAGTGGGCGGCCAGCAGGGCACCCTGCTCTGGCTGCCCCTGGAAGAACCCCTGGGTCAGCTTTGGGGTGCAAAGAGGTTGCGTGCCCTCTCACTGGGCTGCGTGGGCCGGTGACCACCCCGGGCCATGGGAGGATGTTACTAAACGCTGACCACAGGCCCTTACTCTCGGGTCCGCTCACCTCCCCCCGTCTCTCCCTCCCTTCCCTCACCGAAGGGCTTCCTGTGAATAGAGGATCATGAACTCAGTGTACAGCACAGAGACTGCAGTCAGACCTCGCATCTGGGCTCTGTCCCTCATAAGCTCATGACCCAGGGCGAGGTGGACTAATCCCCTGAGCCTCAGTCTGCTCATCTGTAAAATGGGGATGATCCTCCTAGGAGGTCTGTAAGCATTAAATGTGCGCGAAGAGTCTGGGGTGCTGCCCAGCTATTGTCTTCTCTATCACTAGGAACTTCAGAGGGTCTGTCCCAAGAACTGGCTGAGAAGCTGCAGGAGTATTTGAAAGCGTTGGGCCTGTGTTCTGTAAAGAAGTGCTTCCTTGCTTTACGTGCTCAGTGGGGCTGGGCCCCTCTGCTCTTGGGAGCTGGTCATTTTGCTGCAGGGATCCTGATTAAGAAATGCACGGGCAGCGACTGACTTGACCCTGACAGGGTAGTCCCCGGGCCAGCTGTTATTTCATCACAGGACGGACGGCTAGAACCGTTGCCTCTGCCGCTGCTTACGGCAGAACCTGGAACTCCCATCAGGGGTTTTCTCGGTGCTTCCTCCTCCCGCCTGGCCCCTTCTTTCCCTCCGGGGCTGAGGGCTATGCCAGTCTGGCCGCGCCTCCCTTGGTTGTGACCGCACAGCTGTGTCCCGGAGCATTATCGGGTGCGTGCAGCCCCCGGTGGCCCCGGGAGTGCCCTGTGAGCAGGCGTGGGGCTGAGGCCTGACAGCTCGACTTCCTGTCCCAGGGTCTATCTGCTGCTGCTCTGCGGAGGCCTACAGTTTATCTGGGGTCAGTGCTCTCACCCATTTCCTGCCAGCTGCTACTGGTTTTCAGTCAGCTCTGATAGCTCCGGTAGCTGGGAAAGGACCGGGCTGCGTGATTCACCGGCTCTGGCCAGCAGGGATGCTGCGCCGGTGCGAAGGGGCATCTCCCCCTGCGTGGGGAGGGGCGGCACCTCCCCGGTTCCCCGGGCCTTCCCCGTGGGCCGCAGCGAGTGAGACACAGAAAACACCCGCACGTTTGTCGCCAACCAGAAGTTGATGGTGTGGGCGCGTGTGTACGTGTGTGTGGCCTGTGAGTGTGTATGCGTGTGTGTGGTCTAAGGGAGTTTTTCCTGAGTGCGCCCCTGCTGAAGTAAAGGGGGTCACGTTTTGAGGAGTCATAACGTAACTGCCTAGGCTGAGTGCTGCCCCGTGTCGCGGGGAGCCCCGGTTCTCTCTGAGGAGGCACAGATGAGGAGAGGGGAGTCTCACCTACCGTTTTACTTCCTGGCATTTCAGAAAGCGCAGAGGAAAATTCCCCACTATAACAAATGACTGCTTCAAATAGAAAACTGAGAATATGTTCATTCGTCTTGTAATGCCATGGACCAGAGGGTTTTTAAAAAATTTTTTATTGGCGTATAGCTGCTTTACAATGTTGTGTTAGTTTCAGGTGTACAGCAAAGTGATTCAGTTATACATATACATATATCCACTCTTTTTTAGCTTCTTTTCCCATATAGGTCATTACAGAGCATTGAGTAGAGTTCCCTGTGTTATACAGTAGGTCCTTATCAGTTATCTATTTTATACAGAGTGGTGTGTATATGCCAACCCCTATCTCCCAATTCATCCTGCCTTTTCCCCCTTGGTAACTGTAAGTTTGAACCAGAGTTTTGAAGTTGTCCAGAATGTTGGTAAGCCCCGTGTGAAGTGTCTTTAGTTGGCTAGATGGTCACTTCTCAAGCCTGGGCTCAAGTTGAGAGAGCTTGTGTCTCCGTAGGCCGAGGCCAGGCCTGGCAGCACCTGGAAGCCTGTGTGAGATGCAAAACCTTCAGCCCAGCCCGGCCCACTGAGCCCACACTGGCCCGCTGAGCCCACCCTCTGAGTGGCAGCCCACAGGCAGGGAGTCTGTGCTTTACCTGGCTCTCCAGGTGGTCCAGCCTCATCATCCAGCATGGGAAGACGCAGACTGCATTGGTAGGTTTTATTAGTCTCCTTGATAGACGTGGGTTGTGAAGAATGAAAACGATGCTCCAGGGCAGAATTAAATGTTTCACTCCGCACATAGTTACTGACCCCGTCGTGGGTACCAGGCTCTGTGATGGACACGGCAAGGGACCACCCGGCACTGAGCCCAAATCCCTGTCCCCAAGGGGTCCCAGTCTGGAGGAGGCAGATAAAGCCAACGACAAGGTTGCTGCCTCGTCTGGAGAAGCTCCCTGGTCAGACACGGGCAGGGTGCCTGGGGAGGGGTTCCTGGGAGCAGTAGGTGAGACCTAAGCTCTTCCACAAGGATAGGAATTAGACGGAGGGGAGCGAGAAAGTTGGACGGCCTTGCTAAGTTTGGGCTTCACCCCAGCTCTGACACTGTATAGTGCAGTGGGCTCAGACAAGTCCCTGAACTTCTCTAAGCCTCGGCTTTCTCTTTCGTATAATGGGCTGCATGATATTTCCTTTTACGCTTGTTTTGAGACTCAAAGGAAGGAATACATGCCAAGTGCTTAGCACAGCTTTCACTGATCCCTGTAAGGACGATAACAGGGATGGCATCCGAGGGCAGTGGGGAGCCACTGAGGGTTCATAGCGGGTGAGAGACACGAGCAGAGCACTGTAATCACTCCTAGAAATGCCTCGCACGTTGGGGCAGAGCTGCTCGTTGTTGAGCTTCAGGCGCACGTACCCTTAGTATTTCAAGCTACAGTCAGGTTTAAAATGTGTCTGAGAAAATACGTTAAATCCTCAAAAGCACCGCCCTTCCTCCCTCGTCATATTTTTGGATCCTAAGATCAGCGAAATGCAGAATCTGACCATTATCCTAAGTAACGTGCCTTTGGATTGAGAACGGACTCGCAGGACGGCACTTTACTTTTTCCCTCTCAAAAAGTCCCAAGGCCCAGAATACAAGAAAATTTTGGCTTCTGAAGCCTGTGCTTCTCAGGGCAGCTGACAAACTCCACTGCCTTTGGGTGGGACCAGCTCTGGAAGTGCCCACGCCGGTGGCCTGCTTTCTACACACGCTGCCCGGAGTGGCTCTGGGCAACGCTGAGTGGACAGCTGACTAGGATTTGTTCTTTTCAAAGACAGAAAACCCGTGGACAGAGGAGAGTAGTGGTTCACAGGGAGGTGAGCCCCAGGTAACAACTAGTACCACCCCCAGGACGTTCTGGGGAAGCTCCATCTTAATCCCCTCTCGTTTCGAGGCAGCCTCTGCACAGACGTGCTTCATCCATCCTACACGTGACCGCTGGGCACTTTTCACATATCTGTGCTCAGAGCGCTTCTGCAGTGGGAGAGATGGGATTTGACAAATCATTGCACGAAGGTGAGGATGAGGCCTGGCTGGAGAAAACCAAGGTCCTCACCTGGGCTCTGCAGAGCCAGACAGAACCAGCCTTAGCTCCCCAACAAGTTTCCTTTCTGGCCTTAGGTTTTTCTTCCTGGACAACTCCATCTGCGGCGTCGGAAGGAGGGGGATGGCGTTTCAGGTGGGGCACCTCCAAGCACCCCGATGCCCACATTTGGAGGCAGTGCAGACAACCAGGTGCATTTGCAGGAAAGCGCGTGCAGCTGCCGTGCCCACATCAAAGGCGTGTGGCCCAGTGTGGGAGTCCAGGGGGAGCGGGTGCTATTCCTGGCACAGGTACTGACTTACCGTGATACGAAGCCTCCCACTATCTCGGTTGCCCCATCTCTAAAATGGGGCCAGATCTAACTTATCTGGTTCCACAGAACTCACGGGCAAACCACATCACTTGTCAGGAACCTGGATGTCAGCTGGGCCCTGGGACCAGGCCTTTCTGTTCCCTCCCTGAGGCTTTCTGCGCATCCATCTTGCACTGTCTCCACACAGTTTCTTAGAGGAGGCTATCCCATTAAAAGAAGTGCCCCTGGTTTCAAGGGGAAGCATCCCCGCAGCTCTCACAGCTCCAGTCTGGCCTCTGCGCTGCCTCCCAAGGGCCCTTCCCAGCCCATAGTCTGATTGTGCCTCTGTCCTGCTCAACTCCCACTAATAACCGCTGGGCAGAAACACCCAGGGCTCCTTCCGTCCCCTGCCCATCCCCTCTGGCCTTCTGAAGTACACCTGCAGGTCCTCTTCAAGTCCCAGGGCCTCGGCAAGTGCTGTCCCTGTACATGCCCTTCCCCTCTGACCAGCTCAGCAAACTTCTCTTCATGCTTCAGAATTCAGCTCCATGATCATCCCCGCTGGGAAGCCTTCCCTGACCCTTGTATTCCCCTGTCCCCACACTCAGCATCAGGGGGCATGGGGTGCCCCAAGGCTTGCTTCTCTTCACCTCCTAGGACAGGCTGGCTGGACTGCTTCTCGATCTGGGGGAGCAGGGGTGAATCTGTCTCGTCTCAGACGTCCGCCCTTCACCGGGAAGTCTGGAATTCCTGTTTCACGAAACCCTGGGTCTGGAAGGCTGGGAGCAGAGGGAAGGACAGCTGTCAGGGGACAGGTGCAGATGCCTTTCCGGGTTTCAATCAGACTGGAGCCAATGAGAGGAGTGGTTCAGCACAGACCCATCTGAATGGGTTACGGGGCTCCTGGCCCTGTGGGTGTGATCACCTCCTGCGGGTGCATTCAGTAGCCCAGGGATTGTTCTTCGGAAGGTAGGAGAAGGTGCTGGGAGGGGCTGGCACTCCAGCAGAGCCCTCACTAACCTTAAAGCACAAGTGCGCCCAGCGGGTTGTCGGTTGCCAGAGCAGCGAGTTTAGGGAAGGGCCTGAAGGTGACCTGACTCCAAGAATCCTTCTGCCTGGGCTGAGCTGCCGCCTTCAGGAAGGCAAGGAGGCTGTGAGAAAGGAGAGGCCCAATTGAACAGGAGATAAAGACAGGGAGGGGAGGTGCTGGCAGCCCATCCTATTCCTGCCTGGGGCTGACGGCTTGTGACATTCAGATAGCTCCCTGGGTCTGGTTTTTCCTGTTCCTGAAGTTTCTGCAGTACCACATGTGCTGGGCTAGGTCAGAAGTAGCCTTTGGGGTGTAGCTCGTGAGCACGTGTGTGTGTGTGTGTGTGTGTGTGTGTGTGTGTGTGTGTGATATCTCAGTTTAAAGAAACAGGGAATTCAGGATTTGTATCAGCACCACATCCCAGGCCGCCTTGTTTCCTAGAAAGGAAGGGCAGATAACGTGGAGGCTGGGCCCACAGTGAGGCTGGGGCCTGGCCAGCAGGAAGGGCTTCTGGATCTGTCCTGGCTTTGGCCCAGGGCAGCGTCTGGCCCCGGGGTGTCTGCATTCTCTTCTGCTAGAAGAGGCCCAAACTACTTGCTGGCAGCCTGGATGAAGCCAGGTCGGAGAGCAGGCGTGGCTCGGGAAAGTTCTGGACTCTGGATCTTGCTGGGTCTGTACGTTCTGGTGGCCTCTGTCCTGGGCAATCAGTGAGAGTGACAGGAAGGGGGACTCTGAGGGGGGCGCTTACGGAGGAGGGGGTTGGTGCTGGGACAGCCTGGAGGGTCCTGGGCCTCTCAGCTGGAGTCTCAGGTTCCAGAGTTTAGGGTGGTGGGAGCTGGAGGCGGGGCGGGTGGGAGAGGGCCCCTTCCTTCACAGCCTAGGAAGCAGGCCCTGGCGTCGGGTGGCTGGTCCAGTGTCCATGGCACTCACCTGCCGGCCGGCCACCTGCCATTAGGTGATCCCAGACGTCCCTGCTCCGAGCGCCGGCTGGGCACCCGAGGGGGCTCGCCCCCTGCCGGCTTGCCTGGGCCGCCCCTCAGCGCAGCGCCCCGTCGTAAGCACACGCAGGCTTTGCAGTTCCGGCTCCAATGAGGGGTGCAGACCCCGCGGCCCCGCAGCGTGACGTGGTCTGGCGCCGGGTCTCCGACCTGGGGCTCTTTGGATATATCTGTCTCTACCGGCTACTCTTATTCTGCTCGAAAGACCGTGATCTGGGTGTCCAGCTAGGAGGCTCCGTGCCATGGGGAAGAGGAGGGCCTTGGAGCAGCCTCCTGGGAGCTGAGTCCTGGCCGCTGAGTCCAGGCCTCTCCCTGGTGTGGGCTCCCTAGAGCTTCGCCCCAGAACGCAGCCCTCAGGTCTCCCCGCAGGCCCTCCCTCTCTCCAGGATCCCTCCGATCTCTGACCCTTGACCTCGGTGCCCCTCTGTGCCGGGGCAGAGCTTGGAGGCTAGAACAGCTCACGCTGCAAAGTCTCTGTGCACTGATTTCCCCCCAGCTTGTTCCACTTTTAAAAATAGCTAATGAGGAAATTAATTTTGTCACCCAGATGTATTCAGTAAAAACATGTCAGGGGAAGACAATTAACCTCTGCACCAATAAATCCTTTCCAAATTAATGAAGTTAATATCTGTAGATGCTGAGACCTTCAGCTGGGGAGAGGGGCCACAAAAGCAGAGCTCCTTCCAGGCAGAGAAGGAGAGACACCAAAAAGAGAAGCGGGGAGAGAGAGAGACAGAGAGACTGACACAGAGAAAAGTATATATTAAGAGAAAGAATGGGGGTGGGGATAAGCAGACAGGAAGGAATGGCAGAGCAAGACAGACAGACAGAATGAAGGAGAGAGGCGGGAGCATGTGTTTAGAGGGAACAGGGCTGTAATATTTTCCGAGAATTTCCAATTATTCCAGGTATTCGGTTGCAGTAGGTTTGGGGGCAGGAGAAGACTTGACAAGCGAAAGCACAGAATGAAAGGAGTTGGGGTTGTTCACATGTGGATTTTCCAGCCCACTTGGAGGCAGTCTTCTCTCCGCTTGAAGATTCTGGATTCTTTTTCTCATCAGAGGCATCCAGGGAGCCCCGGGACGTGGGAAGTGGCTGGCCAGCTGGAGGGGGCTAGGCGGTTGCTGCCCGTCTTCCTCCTGTGTTTCCCTGGGGGGGTCACCTGGCTGGAGACACGGTCAGGTATAACCTCCCCGCCAGTGCGAGCCCTCCTTTATCTCCTCCCCTTTCCCCTGGAGGCACCAGGCCAAAGATGACAGCCCCTTGGAAGAGGTCAGCCTCTGCCCTAGTTAGATCTTTTCATCCCAGGCTGGGACTGGAGAGCAAGGACAGGAGACGTTATGCCAAGGAGAGGGACAGGTCGGGGGGCAGGCAGGGTGGCACTCATGTGGGCAGGGGTCAGCACAGCCGGACCCTTGAGCTCTTACCCTCTGTGGTCTCGGCTCCCATTTGGGGGGCACCAGCTCAGGAAGCAAATCCCGACTTGGCACTCCTGGAACTCGGATTGAGATGGAATCTTCTTTGGGGACTTTGGGCTGTCGGGGAGAACGGGGAGAAGGGCTGAGGGGCCATGTGAGCTCTCGGGGTCCTGCCGTCTCTAAGGCTTAAGTCCGGGCCCTGCGCCCGAGGTGCTGACAGGCAGGGGACACCGTGCAACTCAGCCTGCACAGTTTTCCCAGAGGGCGGGACTGGGCCATCGGACACCAGCCAAAGACGCTGCTTTGCTCTCGTCCATTAAAAGACCCTTTCTTCATTAATTTCTTCCACCTGTGTGACCTGCAAACAGGCCATGAAGCATTCATCACTCAAATCCTGTCAAATCACCGCTCCTGGGGAGCAGAAGCCCGGACGGGGGTGGGGAGGCTTGTACTGTGGGTGGAGCCTTTCCAACAGGAGGCAAAGGGAAAGGGAGAGATGCGTGGGACTGCGCTCCTTTCCAGAAAACCCAGGGGTGGTGACAGTGACCAGCCAAAGGCAGGGCCCCAAAGGCCCAGCTGGGCTGCCATTTCGGAAAGCTGAGGGGGCCGGAGGGAGCCTTCGGGGTGTGGAGACGGCCGGCCGGGAGGGGAGCCGGGGACAGGGAGGGGAGCCGGGGAGAGGGAGGCCTGCCCCCTCCTTTCTACACTTGGGAAAGAGCCGGCCAAGTCGTTCTCACCGTGGGCACAGACAGCAGAGAGCTAGACCGTAGGTATCTGGAGTTGGATTTCTCACTAATCTAACCTTCCCGGGCCACTGTGAGAAGCTTGCAGATTGCAGGGGAGTGACAGATGTCACCTATCTTGAGCTCCCGCTAGGCTGTTGCTCTCCTCTGTGTGACGTTCCTCCCTCCGCCCCAGAAAACGGGGGTCTTTGTCCAGGTCTCTGAGTCCTAAGCTGCATGGACCAGGGCCTCTGAGGGCCAGCCACGCACAGGGCTCAGAGGGACCTCTCAGGGCTCTGGCCCCCCCGATGGTGTCAGCCAGGACAGGAACCTCGTCGGGTTTCGCTGAGGACCCCAGTGTCGGTGGGCTGGGCTCGGGTTGGGGCGGGGCAAAGGCTCTGTCTGAGTCCACGCTGGCCGCGGGAAATAGCAGGCGTGGTGAGAGACAGAGGTGAGCAGGCTGAGGGCCCCGCCCACCTTCCCGTGCCTGGTGCTGAGCTGGGCTGCAGGTCATCTTATTCTGTCACCCAAAGATGAGGGTCTGGTACCATGTGGAGAAAGGAACCCAAGGATGCCCCTGACTTTTATACTGGGCTCTGTGCTGACCCCATGCCTCCCACACTCAAATCCCTGTCCCCAGAGAGCAGTAAAGACAGAATTAGGGCGGGAGGGGAGTTTGGGGGGGTGATGAGACTTTGTGTAGGTGTTACATCTACAGGCACATGCGGGCTTTTACAGGGTGAGGGCTTCTCTCTCCTCTGCTCTGGACAGAATACAGGGGACAGGCTTGGGCTGCCGCTTGCAGGGCTGGGGTAGAGGTAAGGAAAAGGACTTGGCCGGCAGGGGTTAGCTCTGCAGAGGCTCTGAGAGTCGGCAGGTGCTGCTTTGTAGCCATGATCCATCCTGAAGGGAGGGGTCCATGACACTGAGGGCATCACCCGGGACTCCCACAGGTTTGAATTCCAGCCCCGTCACTGGGCCAGTCTAAATCCCAGTTTCCCCATCTGTGCATTAACACAGCCGTGTCAGCCTCATGGAATCAGAGGGAATAACGCGCGTAAAACATGTTTTTAGTGCAGAGACGCCAAGTGAACGCTCCTGGCCAGCGCACATGCGTGTACCTGAGTAAAGGCTCTGGTCCAGGTGAACTGTCGCGTGTTCTGGGTGCTCACGCACTCCCCCGCTGCACGTTCCTGACGATGAGCAAGCCCATCTGGCTTGGGCTGAATTGCTGGAGCCCAGGGCACAGAGGACAGCCTGCTGAGATCCCTCCCGGTCACCTTCCCCTGTCTCCAGATCTGTCTCACCCTCGTGAATAGGATGAGAGGATTTTTCATAGAGTGGGGGGAGAAAGGGGAGCAGCTGCATTGACAGTAACCAGCAAAGCGGCATCCATGGTCTGAGATCCCCTCCTCCGAGGGTAGCTCGGACAGCATCCCCAGGTGCCCCAGGGAGAGAGGTTTCACTGACCCCTTAGTTCATCAGACTCTGCTCAGAGGGCGCTGGGGGCTCAGGGAGTTTCTGGCGCAGCGGCTGCAGGCCTGGGCTCCTGCTAACCCCCAAATTCCTCATCAGGAGCCATCTTGCCTCTCCCTCCCCCTCCCTCCGGGCTGGCCTGGCTCTGTAGGGGGTGGAATACATGCAGGGCAGTTACAAAAGGGAAAACAGTGGGGAAGTGGCAGAAGGTGAAGAAATCTCACGGCTCTGGCAGCTGGGGCTCTAGTTCCCGATTCTCCTGCTGAGATAGTGCTGAGGGCCCCGACCTCTGGCTCCCCTTCCACCCAGTTGAGCCCATGATACCCGTGACTCAGCTCCTCCCATGGGGGTGACCACGGTCAGGGCTCAGTTGCATTGCCAGGCCGGTCTGGACTGGATGTCTCCTAGTCTGGGAGGTCAAGAGACAAGTGACAGGCCAAAGTTCACAGGGTCAGCGGTGCCACCGACATCCAGTCCAGATGCAGCCTGGTGCCCAGCTCTGCTCTCCACACGGGCCCAGAACTAGGCCCCTCTGTGGCCACGTGACCTTGGCAAAGTCTTTCATCTCCAGACCTACAGTTTCCTCAGCTGTAAACTAGGTGTCATCATAGCTCTCAGGTTGCCATAACAAAATACCCCAGACCTGGGGGTTTGAACGACACAGATGTACCCTCTCACAGCTCTGGAGGCTGGATCTGAGATCGGGGTATCGGCAGGGCTGGTTCCTGCTGAGGCTGGTGAGGGAGAATCTGTTGCTGGTCTCTCCCCCAGCTGCTGGATATTCGCTGAGCACTTGTGCCAGGCTCTGTTACACAGCCTTTACACGTAACCCCAGCCGCCCCTCACAGCCTGGCACCCTGGACCTGCCTCCGCGTGTTGGCTATTGGTCCTTCCTGGATGCTGACTGGCCTCCTGCACCAAAGCCAGATGCTCGCTCTGAGCCTCCAGCCCAGGGCCCTGGTGCCTAGCCCTGTGCCAGCCCCAGTGGGACCCTGCCCGCCCATCCCCAGACTATTGATTGTTTGATCCTGCGCCACCCCCTGAGTGGAGGTGTGCTTTGGGCAGGGCTGGGGGTCTGAGGTCGCTGGGGCTAGGTGTGGGGTGGGCTGATGCAGCTCTGGGGCGCTCCGTTCAGGGAGCCCAGGGGCGGCCAGAGTGCCCTTGGCCAGGGGGGGCCAGCAAGGTACGGCTGGTGTACGGGTGGCCCGGCGTGAGGATGGGAGGCAAGTCCACCGTCGGGGATCACCTCACGGGGACCTCACCGCACGGACTGTGTTTCTCACCACCAGGTGTTTACGGAATCAGGACTGAGGCCGACACCATGGCTGAAGGCCCTATGTCCCCCCCAAGAGCCTCCGTGGGAGGGCCGCATGCTCCCCAGCTTTGCCCCTGTGGGTGGGACCCATGAGGCTTTGCTTCGGGGTTATTCCCTGATTCAAGTCTGCTTCTCGGGGAGTTGACTCCCCACAGGAAAATGTCACACTAAGAGAAGTGTTAGTCCAACAGGATTTGGTACCAGAACTTTGTTGAATGTCATAAATACTTTCATAAGTGCCCCTCTGCGTATTGAATAGACGCTTACCAGACCTTAATGTGCTCCAGTTAAAATACAGAATCTGACTCAGTAGGCCTGATGTGGAGCCTGGGATCCTGCATTTCTAAAAAGCTTTTGGAGATGCGCATCCTGCTTTGGGTAGTAAGTCACTAGACCAGTATGTCCTGAGAGTTTTGCTCTCCGGACAGCTTTATACTCTTAAAAATGACTGAGGACCCCAAAGAGCTTTTGTTTATGTAGGTTATATCTGTTGCTATTTACTGCATTAGAAATTATAATTGACAAATGAAAAAATTATTAATTCATTAAAAAGTAACATTAATAAAACCATTACATATTACCTTAAATAACGATTTTATAAAATAAACTATATATTCTTTTGAAAACAAAAAATAGTGGAAAGAATGGCAATAATTTATGTTTTTGCTCTTTAATGTCTGACGTAACAGAAGATGCTGGATTCTCTGTCTCTGTGTTTAATCTGCTGCAACATATTTTGTTGGTTGAAAAAAATCCAGTCTCAGACAATGTGTAGTTAGTATTTTAATGTCTTTTTTTCAGATAATTTTGTTTTTTTTTTGATAGTGCACTAAAGCTCTGCAAGTGATAGCTTCTTAAAAAGTTAATTGCGATGCGTGTTCACTGTTACTTTAAAGTCTGTTAGTCTACCTGTTTCTTGGCGTGGGTCTTTTGCTCATGCGTGATTTTGCATTGTCATTTGGAAAAATACTGGCTTACTGAATTATGAAGACCTTGCAGATGTTGGCACATTTTATTAGGCAACATCCAGAAACCACCATTCACTAATTTACCATCAGCCTCAACAGAAAAGTCTTGGAAATCTCTCCCTTGACTCTTCTTACGTCAGGTATGGGACCAAGTGTGAAGCAGCGGGGACACAGAGCTAAGGGGTCTAGCCGTTGTCCTGCAGGACACTGGGAGACATGGCGGCACTTCTAAGTGGGAAAGTGTGCGGTCAGGTGTGTGTTTTGGGAAGCTCACTCTGAGAGCAGTTTGGAGGATGAATCTGGGAGTAGCAGAGAGAGGGGAGGACAGAGATCCAGTTGAGAGGCTGTAACCTAAAGCCAGGAGAGAGTGGACGATGGCTGGCGGTGGCAGTGGCCCCAGGGGAGGGGAAGTCCTGTGTACCAAGATGAAGGAGGCAGACTCTCCAGGACCAGGCAACAGACTGGACAGGGGGTTGAGAGCAGAGTGGTGGGGAGAGTCCAGCATGTGCTCTGGTTTCTGGCTGGGAAGCTTGCATGTGTGCAGAGACCCTTCCCCAGGATGGAAGGCACAGGGTTGGGGGAGGAGAGGTGACCTTGGGGGCAAAGGGCTTTGAACCCAGCTCTTTGAAGATCAAAGTTCTTAATTATCTCCATTTGAATATCCTGAAGCTAATGGTATGGAAGTGAGCACCCTGTCCCTGGAGGTAATCAAGCCTAGTCTGGTGGCATCTCATTGGGGTGTGTTTAGAGGGCTTCCTGTCCTGAGAAGGAAGGTAGAGGGTGTTTTAGTTAGCTCAGGCTGCCATAACAAATTAGTAAAGGTGGGGTGGCTTAAACAACAGAAATTCTCACAGCTCTGGAGGCTGGAAGTCCCACATCTGGAGCAGGTCTGGCACGGGCAAGTTCTGGTGAGAACACAGAGAGAGAGCTCTGGTCTCTCCTCTTCTTATAAGACCACCGATCCTATTGGATAAGGACCCCACCCTTATGATCTCAATGAACCTTTTTTTCAACTTTTTAAAGAAATTGAGGTGTAGCTGATTTCCAATATCATATTTAAGTTTCAGGTGTACAACATAGTGATTCACAATTTTTAAAGATTATACTCCATTGATAGTTATTAAAAAATATTGGCTATATCCCCTTTGCTGTACAATTGATCCTTGTGGCTTACTAGCCCTAACTTCTGTTACGGTCACACTGGGGGTTAGGGCTTCAACATCACACAGGACAAGCCTACATGGTTCCCACTGCCCTGTGGCCATGCTCAGGCTGACCTCCTGGCTGACTCTGAGGAAGGGGAAAGAACTAGCAGCACACCCTGGGCTATACCTGGCCCTGAACTTGATCACAGCCCTGCAGGGCCCAGGACTGGCGTGCAGAATGGAAGGCCCACCTGTGTGCCGGCTGCCTCTGTCTGTGCCACGTGGCATTTGGTCGCCCCGTGGAAGTCACTTTGGAGCCACGCAGCTGATGCATCTAATTAGTCCTGCTCTCCAGCTGACAAGTGTCAGCTCCTCTGATGAAAGGACAGGTTCCTCCCAAGTGCTTCCTTCTGGCAAAGCTAAATATTAATTATCTCCCTTTATTTGATGATTATTCACGGGCACTGATGTCACCACATCATGGGGTGAGAAGTCAGTGCCAGGAGAGATGAAAAAGTGGGTAAATCGTAGTGAGCTGCCTGGCGACCCTGAAACATGGGAGAGATTGTCGTTGCCCGGGGAGCGGGGGCCCCTTTGTTCCGGGCTGTGCCTCTGAGCTGTGCCCGGTGCTCGAGCTGCCATCCCAGGTGGAGTTTCAGGCTGGAAGGGAAGGGGAGCTCTGCCCAGCCAGGCAGCTCAGGAGAGAGATGCTCCCTTAGAACCAGAGTCAGAGATGTTTCATACATGACATACCCAAGAAGATGCTGGTGCACTCCAGGTGGTCCTGGTTGAGCAAACATCCACAGGGAACCCAGGGTGCTCCAGGCAATAGGTCAGCCCTGGAGGTGGAGGAAAGGGTCAGAAGATGTGGCCTGATGTGTGTGTGGGTCTAGTTTTAAAACTGGACACTGGAAGTTCACGTCAGCAAACTATCTCTATGGGTGTGTGTGTGTGTGTGTGTGTGTGCATTTTGCACATTGGTGGCAGCCCCAAAACTGACAGAGAGTAAGAAGAATAGTGCAAGGCGATGATGAAAATCCATTTTTTTTTAACATCTTTATTGGGGTATAATTGCTTTACAATGGTATGTTAGTTTCTGCTTTATAACAAAGTGAATCAGTTATACATATACATATGTTCCCATATCTCTTCCCTCTTGTGTCTCCCTCCCTCCCACCCTCCCTATCCCACCTCTCCAGGCGGTCACAAAACACCAAGCTGATCTCCCTGTGCTATGCGGCTGCTTCCCACTAGCTATCTACCTTACGTTTGGTAGTGTATATATGTCCATGCCTCTCTCTCGCTTTGTCACAGCT